TTAGGTACAGATACATTTTAAGTGTGGTACAAAAAAATTAAATGCCTAGTAATTTTTCTTCCATTTGGAACACTTGGTTTAGGTAGCAGGACTAAGTTCCATAAGGACATTGTCTTGTGCCATGTAAAATAATGCTTTATCTTCAATTGGATTAAAAAATTTCCTATTTCAACTCTTTTCACAAAGCAGAGAGGGGGGGATCCACTTTTTAAAAAAAGATTTTGATCTCAAATGCTTATCCTCATATTGTATATAAAGAGGAAACTATAGTTCATGACATAAAGATGTCTGAAACATAAATTAATGCCACAATAATTGGAAGATATTGAATTTCTTTAAAAAATAACATAATTTTATGGTGTTAATGTTCAAAAACATGCTAACTTGTCCACACTTCAATATCTCAGACACCATAGTTTTGTGAAGTGAAGATGAGAGAAGAGTAAGTGAGACCTAGTTGTGAGGGGAAAGGAAGTAAGAATGGAATATTTGTAAATGTCACCAACCCAAGAAATAAAAAGAAGAAACTACAATAACATTCAAAGGCAATTCTCAAAAATGTATGTGTGCATTACTCACAGTTTCTGAAGACTCGACAATTGTATAAATGAGCCTTTCTTTATAACAGATAGTGCATTACGAGCTAAATCCCTGGAAAAACAAAAGAAGGAAATTCATTTTCATATAATGAGAAATGTGAAATAAAATTGTCAGTTAAAGTTCAAAAGAAAATTAGGGTGTTATTCAAAACAAGAAATTACAGACTATAATAGACACTGCCTTTGTGATTTCGTATAGTATAGGCTGCTTTAATATTAAAACTCAATACAAAAGCTAATTTTTTTAGTTCTTAATGTTATTTTTACAATTTGAATGAAATCATCAGAAGATTTTTTTTTTTAATTACAAGAATGATATAATTTTAAGTCTTTCTCTTTGGTGGACTGTTTAAAAGTTAATTATTGTGAATCTTTAAAAAGACAAATAATCACAATGAAAATATTTTATCTGGCTGACACTGTTAATATTTGTGTAAAAGTGTACGAAAAAAAATCCTAATTTTATTTAAAAAATGATGCGATACCGGGTATTAGAAATGGGTATGAAAAAGCTTTATAGAAGATATCTATGTGGCAGATAAAGGAATAATATCCATACTAAATCTTGAAAACAAATAATTCGACTACACATCATAAAAGTATTAAATTTGGACATGCTGTGAATTTTAATTACCAATAAAATTACTTACAAATGAACAGTGTCTGGTGGAAAGTTCAAGTTTGTCAGTGATTTAAAGGGAGCAACATGCTGTGCACAATCTACTTTGCGTCCTTTCTGTTGTTTTGATGATCGTACCATTGTACACTGGCAGCCTGGCACACATGCGCCACACAGTGACACTAAAGTTGCAAAGAGAAGTACCAGCACATATCCATTGTGGGTCATCATCTCCGTATTGAGTTCATTCCTTCTCAGTTTCAAGAAGGTTATTCCAATGAAATAAAATACACTATCATTGTTTTTTTAAAATAATATTGTCCTAGGAGTTATGGTCCTAGCACTAGCAGGTGTTAATTATTACATTTTGGAAACAAGTCAAGATATGCCTTGTCTGTGAAATTCATTTTTATTATTTTATTAGCTCACTCATAATCTAACTCTAACTATGAAATTTTATATTGTTTTACCTAGCCTACAGTAAATAATTTAAAATTATTAACATTTAATTATTAATATCATTTCGTCACATAATTTAACATATATATAATATAGTGGTTAGGCTAACTGACTAATTTTCACTAATTATGACTAATTTGACTAATTGAATTTCAATGGCCACCTCCTAAGAGTGCCTAGACTCCTAGGCCTAGGCCTAGAGGATGTAGGCCTACATCTCACTTTATGATTTGGTTTAGGAAGCACATCTATAGTTATAGACCACAGTGATTACAACTATCAATAGACATACTTAGTACTTTAGCCTCATAAGTCATAAACTTACTTTAACTTTAACGCGGAGACAGAGTACTGATAACTGAGTTAATAATAACATTATTTTTAATTCTAGTTAGTTTAAGTGGACTTGACTGAACTGTAAATGTTGCTTTCTAACTTGTACATTATGATTTATTAAAGCAGATTATGCGCACTATGGCTTTACACCGCTTTGTATTTGGCGATTTTGCATAATACCACTATCGTATTATCACAGTAATAGTACATTTACATACTGAGTAGAAGCACCGATACAGTCCAGTCCGGGGATGAGGTTCTTTTGAGCTTAAAAATAAACCCACATTATCACATTATTCAAATAATTATTTTTGCAATACTTTCCCCGTTAATGCACACATATAGTGGAAGGAATCCTAATTACGTTATATGTAATCCTCATCCGAAGTCTAAACACTGAATTTATCACTATGCAATGAGTCAACTTTGGGTAAATAACACACTATCCACATCAATGAGAGCCATCTTGGTTTTTGGCAGCGACAGTGACGTCACTCTAGATTCCCGATTTGATTGGTTGACCTGTTCTCAATGTTACAGGATTATCCAAATCTAGAGAGTGCATGATAATCGTCTCTGGTCTTTAGTAAAATAGGATTTTAAAAATAATAGGGTTCTCTCAATAATCTTATTTTTAAATCAATTTCTGCTCTGGAGCACTCATGCATTCGTATTGCCATAATTTAAAAAGAGCTAGTCAAGACTAGTGGTGGTAGTAGGCTACTCAGCCTACTCACTGACTGATGACTGATGATCATCCAAATATTTTTTTTTTTTTTTAAATAAAGAATTCTAAACGAAACTCAATGTTGTTTGTCTTTTTCGATACTTTGAGATTGCTGTAAGAAATAAAACACGACTAGAATCGTTTTATGTATTAACATATATTAGATATTAGGCAACACATTTCAGTCATAATTAATAGTAGGTAAGTAGGCAAGTAGGCCCTACGAACGGGTAATGTTAACTGAACTATGGTATGGATATTAATTATGGCATGGAAAATGGGCCCATTTAATTTATGGTCACATATTTATTTAATGTATGTCATTAACGTTTACCGTTTTACCACTCCACAATCACAATTGAATATAAGTTGTCATTAATTAAGACCAATTACGCAATTAACAAGTCATCTGCATTTGCTTTGGTAAAGAAAAGAAATTTGGAAGATGTCAGGCCGCTATTGGGAATTCGGACCCGGATCCCTTTAGATTAAACTAAATCCCATTCGGATGTCGTATTTGTGGTAGTTTATTTTAGTTAACCTGAAGAACTAAGTTTACAAACATATAGTCCGTTCAATTATCTTTCATTTGATACTTCATTTTGTCTTACAAACCCAGCAATAATATTTTAAGTAGTTTTTTCATCCCAACCTCTCACTTCTGATACCCGGGTGCGAATGGCCACTTCGATATTATATTCCAATGTTCAATTCGATATGATAAAGCACTATAACTATGATATACAAAAATAAAGAATCCAGGCTTCTGAAGCCCCAGACTAGCATAATGAGTTTGACATCAATCGCTCCACCATCAGATCACCATGTATTTTAGGCATATGCCTACCCATTATTTTTAAAATGCCATTTATTCTTTTATATTTTCAGAATATTGTCCTTAGTTTATTATTAATGAACCAGTAGGTGGAGAAACACGGCCAGCCCCTCGTGGCACAGTCCGAGGCAGTCGTGTAGTGGCAATAATATTTTAAATTAATAATATGTTAAATACGCCTAGTGGCGTAGCGAGGGTGTTTGGCGTCCGGGGACAAGATCTATTTTTAGCGTCCCTTTTTCAACTCTCAAACCCATTATTTTCATCAATAAAATAATATCAAAGCACATTTTGGCGCCCCTAACTAGCTGGCGCCCGGGGACATCTGTCCCCCTCTGCCCCCACCACGCTACGCCACTGAATACGCCTAAGACCCATAGGGCAGCGGTTCTCAACCTAAGGGTCGCACGACCCTTTCACAGGGGTCGCCTAAGACCATCTGAAAACACATATTCTCCACAGTATCAACGATAATAGTTTTGTGGTTGGGGGTCGCCACAACATGGGGAACTGTATTAAGGGATCGCGACATTTGAAAGGTTGAGAACCACTGCCATAAGGGCTCACGGGGGCTGTCCAAGGATAGTCATATATATTGTTGACCTAATCAAACTTACTGTTTATTGACAAATTCATATTACCAGGTACGCTGGTATCTCAAACTTTCCAGACTTTTGAAGCTGCGTAGTGCTTGTTATGTGTAGTAATTTATCACTTATTATTTGCTCTGAGAGGGCTCATTTACTTGAGAAGCACACAGACAAGTAGCCCGCTGTCTTTACTAGATGTTCTTTCAATTGAACACAAAACTTGTGGAGATAGTGGCCTTAATTTAAGACTCCTCTTTCAGGGAGGCCAGAAAAGCACACTTGCTATTCATCTCTTGATTAAGATCAAGCTAGAGATATTAGACATAAGTTCACACAAGCTATGTCAAGTTCTCAAGTACTGCCAGGCTGCATACATCAATACCTTTGTTTTGAGGGAGTCAGCATTTAGAGACATGACATTTGTTTTCTTTAGACTGATGGTCATTCTAAACTATCATTTCATGGGCATCCCAGTGCCTGTACTGTAAACTCTAGTGATAAACACTTGTATAGTTCAGGGAGACTGCACTAATTCACAGTACCCTAAGCTAGAAACAATTTAAAATAATTGTATCTAAATCATTTTGACTTGATTCAAGTTGAAAATCAACATGAGATATTAAAACATAAAACACACAGTTAATGCTAACCGTGCATTTTATAACAAACATTAATTTCTAACTGACATACCTATGGAACAGGGATACAAAATCATAACAAACATTAATTTCTAACTGACATACCTATGGAACAGGGATACAAAATCATAACAAACATTAATTTCTAACTGACATACCTATGCAACAGGGATACAAAATCATAACAAACATTCTGATCAAAGTAACACAGATTTAACATTTATTCAAAACAAAATTCTGCAAAGTTTAATTGTTCTTGAGGTCACATCGAGGAAATGTGCTCAGTCCATCAATAAATTCAATGTTAAAACCAAAACAAAATTACTTTGACAATTCAATGCTTTTTATAAATAAAAATGATTTATTACTTTTCATATAGGCTAGGCACTAAAGACTGTGCTGTGTTAAAGGTGTTCATATTTTGATATTTTAAACTAAAATATGGAACAAAATTATCGTATATGACTACATGTTGGATCTCACTTTTACACAAGGTCAGCTGACACTGAAAAAGGATTTGAGTACACATGTAAGACGGAGATAATCATTTATAAATACCCCATTTTAATTTTTCTTTCAGCCACAAAAGATCGCACTTAATATTTTTGTGTAAATTTGAAGGAAATTGTTAAAAAGCAACCATCATGACAACATAACTAAGAAACTAGGATTCTTAAAGGACAAACTGTGGCGATGATAAATTCTTTTTTTTATATTAGTAATCAAATCAGCAATTATTAACTAATGAAAAACTTTTAATTAAAAAGCTCATTTTTTATCTTCTTTTTTTTTATCATCTTTTTTGTCTTCCTTTTTGGTATCCTTCATTAAACTGGTCATTGCACTTTGAATAACTTCACTGTTTGGATCAACTCCAGGTAGATTTTGAAAAACATTCTGTAAAAAATCTGGGTCATTCATCACCTCAGAGTAGTCCTCTTCTTCTTCCTAATCAATGACAAAAAAACAAATTAAAGATTAAGTGAAAATAAAATCATATGAGCTCATAGCAAGTAATGCTGTGTTTGGAGACTGGGAATGTTAAAACTTTCTTTAAGCAAACCAGTTTTCAGCTTTAGACTCTGCAAGAACTCATGGGAAGAAGGGTCTTCCTGTAATTTTTTTCACCACCCCCACCCAACTTAACCCTATTTGCAATACATTCTAATGCTTTCCTAACAGCCATGTCAGATCAACAGGATACTTTATAAGACCATACATCCTTGTGCAAAGTGAGAGAGGAACAAGAGGGCTCTTCCTTCTGGGAGGCTCATTTTTTCGTGGGGGTGGCCTTGTGGCATTTTTGGTACACTTCATTTACTTCAAATAGTTTATTTTTCTCTTTCCAATTTAGTTTTCGTTAATTTGAGGGGGCAGGATGGGCAAAATTATTGTAGACAGTAATCTGATAATTCTTTAAGAAGAAGAAAAATTTTTCACTTAAAAAAAAATACAATCACAGCAAGCTTTTAACATAGGTCAGCTGATCGAAACAGAGTGGTTACCAAATTTTATTCATTTTACGGCATCTTTATTTTAAAAAAAAAGTATTTAGTTATTATATTTATATAATAATAAAAGTACATTTACTATTATTCGGTTCAATATTATTTTTTTAATCTTATTTTTTAAAAATGATAAAGATAATTTGAAAAGAGATTTGTGAAAATCAGAACAGGTTTTCAGTTAGGAAACAAAAACACAGGAAATCTGTTCTTTATTGGAGACCACAGGATTTTTGTTCTTTTAATAACAAGTCACAGATAAGTAGGCCTACATCATAAATTATTTATAGAAACATAAAAAATGTTTCATGAATGTGTTATCAAATTATTGTGAGTGAATCAGATTGCAAATAATTGTATAATTAGTCTTGGGTTTGAGTCCCAGGTGTATTTATATCCATTATTTTATAAGATAGTAAGTCCATTGCAAGTATTGTTTTATGTAATAAACCCAACTATAATAATGATTATTTTTCTTGTGAAAGCAGCCCACTAGATGCTAAAACACCACCAATGAGAAGGATCCCCCATATTCTTAAACTGACTAAGCAGATGCTAATAAATGAATACAAAAACATACTTGTATCATTTTATCAGATGTGGCAGTAGCACCAATGTCTTCCGTTTCCATAGGTGCAGGGGAATTATCCTTCATGCTTGTGCCTTAAAAAAAAAATAATAGCCAAAATTTAACCAATTAATATGTACCGGTATTAAAATTTATTTCTATTAATATTACTATCCAATTATCAAGCAATATTTTATTTACAATATCCTATAAAACATATTTTCCATAGGTCGAATGTTCATAATTACTCAAGACATTGTGCACAATATTGAAAACCCTTCTATTGAAATTGTGCTAATTCTATTTTGTGAGACTTTTCCTCTAAATACTGAAAATTCAAGTAATACTAGTAATAGTAGTAATACCATTGAATAATAATGATCAATTCATGCTATAACAATGAATGTCACAAAATTCTATATGTCACTGTACAGATACAAACGGGAAGCATGGCAGCATGAATGCACTTTAACAAGCTCCTCTATCTGGCTATTCTTAAAATTCTCTTCTAACTGTCCAGTAATCAATCTTAAAATGATTATCTATACAGCTACTAAATGAATGAAAGAATGAACTCCCAATGACCAAGCCACCTCAAGACTGCATACAGTTATATTGATACTCATCTCCAGAAAGATTTTTGACAGATCTTAAAGCCCCATAACCTTAGTATAACTTCCTTTGCCCATTGAAATTACAACCAAAGTTTACCATAGTCAAGAACAGATCGATAATAACTGATATATGTATAGAAATATAGCCAGAAGTTATCATAAAGATCACATTTAAAAACTATCATAATAAAAAGTTTTTTAATATCTAAATTAAATCCTTATAGCATAAATCAAAACTTAACCAACCTGCATTTTCCATAGATAGTCTCATGGCATAAGCCACTTGCTCTTCTTCAGACATGGAAGCAAAATCCATCCCAACAGGAGTTGGGTTAATTGATTGGGGTGCAGAATCATCAGGTATCAGTGATGCACCCAGTGCTCTTTCCAGGAGCTCTTCTTCCACTGAGGCTGAAATTTATTAAATGAGTACTTAAGTTGTTACCAATATTTACAATGAATGCTTTTTAAAAACACTAACAAAAGTGAAAAAGAGTACATTGAGGAAATTAGCCAAGTGTCTTAAATAATAATTATTTGATCACCTGCTGATATGGCTCCTGAATCCCCAGTAGTTGCTCCTGTGTTTTCTCTAATTTCACGTTCCTGGCGAGCTCTTTGCTCCTCCATAGACACACGTAATGCCTGAAAAACAATCAATTTAAAACTTAAAAGCCTTGAATAACATGAGATGTCACATATATCCTCAATAACAACCCTAAATTAAGGACTTAGGAAAAAGAGTGCTGATTGACTGCCAGTTTATTTTTTCATTTTTCAAAAAATAACATTTTTTTTTTAATTCCGAGAAAGTCAAATCAATTTATAAAATGTATAAAGTTTTACCAAAGCAAGTTCTGGATCTTCATTAGGATCAACACCAAACTCAAAGCCAGCCCCTGTCATGTTTACGCCTGCACCATCTTCACCCACTATAACTGGAGAGCTGAGTAGGGCATCTGATAACATAGGCCCTGGTGGAACAGTCACTAAATGGGAGCTAATTTAATAGAGCAAAAAAAAATGTATTAACGTTTTGGGTCCAGTTGTAAATAAATGAATAGCCTAAAACTGTAATTTAAGGAGAAAAAAAAGAAAAACCCCTTTGGGTAGTCCATTGTTAAAACATTTAAAGATGTTTTAAACATTTTTATCGTTGATTTTCTAATTGCAATTCATTTATATACATTTAATGAAGTGAATTCAATAATTAACAACCTCTTCCCTGCCCTTATGACTGTTTTAATAATCGTATAAAAAAAATTAACAGAAAGATGGTTTATTTTATGCTGTTAATAGTTTTGATATGGTATAACCTAAATATTGACCTATTTTTTAACTTGGACGTAGAGCTAAAGCATTCCACCACCTCCCCCTCCACCTTTTTTTTGTTTTGATATCGACGCCACTAATTAAATGTGCAGCTCTGTGCCACGCCTTTATACCAGCCCCTCCCTTGATTGGAAAAAGGTTTTTAACGTTCGATTAAGTTCTATTTATTCAAAAGAATGCTATCAGGTGACACAATTTCTAGAATTTCTTTACTGGTTCTGATCTAACCCTTATATAAAGGCCGGCAGCTTTCCTAGGCAGGTGAGATTTTTTTGCTAATTTTTCTCGACATTTACAAGAAGTTATATAATTGCAAGATTGTAATCTTTGTAATCTATATGAGTGTGTGTAAATTAATATTGGGATTTTTCGAGGATTGTACCTTTTCACTTTCTGTGCTGTAAGTTGATAGTTTTTTTGTTTCTGTACCGGTATATTTGAAATTGTATTTTTTAAAAAGAAATCTAATAGTATTATCAAACTGAATATTAGTATTATCACTAGCTTTGTTATTGCTATCTTTGTATGCTGACTTTCAGTCCTTTGTTATGTATAGTTCATTCTACGAGCCAAATCTTAAAACAGATTACATTTTCAAAATGATATAACGATACGTAACACTTTAAAGAACAACAAAAGAAGTACCGTTAAACAAAACTAGATTTTGTTATATCAAAAATAAACATTTAAATTTTTGAGTAAGGAATGTAAATTTTGTGATTTCCACTTAAGGCGGCTGTCCATGTTAGAGAGAACCCTTTCGAACTGGGGCCACTGGCTGAATGCCACCACAGATTTTATATATATCCATATTATATCATACCCAATATTTCATATTGTCCAGGACACAGAGTGTATCATTTTATTATAGAGATTTTTGTTTCTTGGTCATTAATGAAAAATTTGCTTAAAACTTTATCACCCCTAGATGCAATAAGTAACTGAACAGATCAATTGTAATGATGAAAATACTCCATTAAGAGAAAAAATCAATTATAACTTTTAAAAAAGACTCCAAAGACTTCAGTTAGATTAGAAATTAAAGATTCCAACACTTCAAAATTTGAAATTTATGGTTAATACAAGCTTGAATTTTTTAAATAATTAATTGGGATTCAGAAAACAAAATATACACTTGAATTATACCTGGTGCCATCCTTCCCATTTATGGCATTAACAAATGCAGTGAGTTTATCTGTGTTGAGACCCTGCAGAAACAATTGTAAGAAATTTTTTAGCATTATAAAATCTTTTTTCTTAGTAATGGGACACAAAATGCATTTTAAAAAAGATCAATAAACAAATTAGTAAATAATTACCTCTTCTCCAAAATTTACTACATCAACATTGACCTTCTCTTTCTTTAGTCGTTTTGCAACTTTAATAATCTGAGGAAAAATGAATAGATATTCATTTACAACCATTTTTTTTAGACCAATATTCGCACTGTATAATAAATTTTACAATAAAACTCTATACATGTAAACTATGGTAAGAATACATTGTATTTTATACACTGAATTTGTTAACGAATCCTTTTCTGCAGAGTCTTCTGTTATTCAATCCACTCCCACCCTTCCAATTAGTTCAAGAAGTCAAAGCCCTACTGTATTATTAACAGTTTTCCAAAGAAATATGGGAGTAAAAAGATATTTTATTTGTTTAAATAATATTAATTTCGGCATGTAAATAAACATGTCAAATACCAAAGCGTTTTTTAAAACAATATTTTCTGGAACATCTAACAAAAAATGGAGAGGATAGGTCATTAATCATTTGTTACGGTAATTCAAAAATTTCTTTTATATCAAAATAGCTCATAAAAAATAAAAATACTAATTATAACGATCACTTACATTAAAAATAAGTATTAAAAAATGATTAAAAAAATATATTACCTCCTTCTCATCAAGGTCAATAGGACTTCCAACAAAAACAACAATGCGAAGCTTGTGATTTCGTCCTTGCCGATGTTTTAATGCCAGCTATAATTTAAAATATTACAATTTTATTGCAATGCCATTTTAGTACAGATTCAACTGAAATAAAATAAATGAGATGTTATTTTACATGCATGTGCATTTGTGTAAATGTCCTAACTCGTGACAATAGACATAACTAGTTTAAGCTACCGGTTTACAATACTCACATGTGCTACTCTAACAGCAGTCATAAAGTTGATCTCTCCACTCGGTTGTACTTGATGTAGCTTTGCTAAAATTCTACCAACATCTGTTGTTAATGTCACAAGTACTTCAGCACTGAAAAATTGGGACATAGACAAAAATGTATAGTTGAATTTTTTAAAAGAAAATTTTGATTTAACTAAATAGCTAATTGGTAATATATTTATGTAAACTACATAATATGTTATATCAGATATAACTAAAATTCATCCCAGGTTTAAACATGATTAAAATTAAATGTGTTAAAAAATTAGACATATTTTTCACCAGGGAAACTTACTGAGCCATCTTTAATAGCCCAACATTATTTTCTGGATTTGAGCGAGTTTTAGACATGCACACAAGATTCACTGCATCCTGCTGAGCTTGCATCCGAGTTGGAACAAAATCTCCATTTCGCATATAATCACTGTTATCAACACTGAAGAAAGAAAATAGGAGCTATAAGCTATAAATATTGCACAATAATTAATAAGAATTTGTGACACTTTGTGACAGACAGGGAAGGGGGGTGTGGTTCTGAAAGGTATTTTTTGCTTGACTTAATTTACAAATGAGCCCTTAGTGTACAGAACATCCATATCTTATTTATTATATTTAATGGCCATAAGTAAGGCATATTTATCATATTATATTTATATTATATCAGTACAGTCTGTAGTACAGTGTGAGTGTGCAGTGTTTGGGCAAGACAACCACAAGGGAAATGCCTAGACTTAGACAGTCTCAGAAGTTATGTCTGTTAGGCCCTAACTGTTATGATTTATTTGAGTCGGGAGACCTGCCTACTTTTACTTTCGTAATTTTAGTTTTTTTTTTTTTTTTTTTTTTTGTTTTTTTTAGATTATATTTTGACAAATCACATCAACTTCTTTTATTTTCGTAATTTTAGTTTTTTTTTTTTTTTTGTTGTGTTTTTTGCAGATTATATATTGACAAATCACATCAAATGGCTGTGTCATCTATCAGTACAAAGCTAAATTAATTTGCAAACGACCCAGATTTGTCTCTTCGGCACAATGAAACGTCAACATTTATGAAACATATAAAATTTTACTTTTATAATATAACTAGAAAGATTTGAAATTAAGTATATACGGAAGGAAAAAATAACTTTGAATCACAAACCAAATAATTGTACTCTCGAGCACCATTTTGTTTTTTTGTGGTCTCGGATAAAATGACAACCAAGCCGACGAAACGCTGAATTCATTTTTAATTAAAACTTTAAAAAAATTATATTGGATTTCTAATATTTTAAATCTATAATTGATTTATTTAAGTATTACTTATACTTAAATAAATATTTTAATAAGATATTTTTCATGTTTTTGTTCTACGCTTTTCGGAGATTGCTAGATAATTATCTACGCCAGTTGCAAAATTAATCCAAATCAGAATAACGAGGAAAAAAAAAAGGGGGGGGGGGATGTAGCTTTTATTTAATGTGCATGGGCGCCCGCAGAAAACTTTCTAGAAGGGGGAGGGGGCAAAAAAATCGATTAACTTTCCAGGGGGGGGGGGGCAATTTTTTTTTAGTAGGCCTAATGTTTTAATGTAGTTTTAATTTACTGTAGCGTATTTGTATGGTGAACGAACGGACAGGACATCAGCTTAGTTACTTTCTCTTGATTTTCTCTTTACTTCAATACATTTTTTGTCTATTTGTGTCTAAATTTTTTTAATCCAATCAATCCAGGGGGGGGGGCAAGTTGCCCTCCCCTTGCCCCCCCGGTAATGTGCTTAAGGGGGGGGGGGCGGGTTTCAATACATTTTTTGTCTATTTGTGTCTAAATTTTTTTAATCCAATCAATCCAGGGGGGGGGGGCAAGTGCCCCTCCCCTTGCCCCCCTGGTAATGTGCTTAAGGGGGGGGGGCTGGGTTTCTCGTGTGATGAATGGGCCTACATTTTAAAATTATTAATGTTCGAAGTCCCTGCTTTCACTTACTGCTTTTTGCAAGTCCGATTGAATTATTTTACTATACCACATGTGGTCCGACCACGAATATTATGCGGCCCTCGAGGGCACTTTAAAAAAAAACAAAAAAACTTGGCTTCTTTTTAAGCTATGTTGTTGAATTGTACAGAATTTCATGTACCGTTATGATTTCACATTGGTTTAACATTTTTTAATAAATATTATTTCCTTTCTTTTGTAAACTGCCCTTTAGGCCATATTAGAATATGGTGCGATCAGCTTGGACCCATACCTAAAGCAAGACCTGGAAAAGATGGAGCGAATCCAACGTAACGCAGTGCGCTTCATCGCAAGTGACTACAAATCCACAACTCCTGGCTTCGTCACTGACCTCTTAACTCTCTGCAGTCCGACTATAGAGAAATGGTACTTATAAGTACCATAGATTTTGTGGGTTGGTTATTTATTTTTTAACTTTTTTTTTTTATTGAACAAATTTATTCATTATATTTTAATAATTTGTTTCATTGGTTTAAGTATTTGTAAAAAAATTAAAATTATTACAAAATTTGAAATTACTATTTAAAAAAAATATTGTTGGAAACTTATTCAGCGCGGAGTATCCCTTGAAAGCTTCGCAGATTTCCAAAAAAAAAATAAAAATATATGTCTCACAAAGAAAATTAAATAGTAGTATGAATATTGTCAAATGATTTTAATTTCCCGATTTATCAAGGAGTTAATTGTTTGTCTAAAGTAATGTATCCAAATGGAGACTCTAATCATGAAATTTATCACGATTTGCATATAAAAGTAACTGATTTGATATCCCTCCCTCAAAGACAGACGAGAAAAGCTCCGTCTAGCATTCCTTTAAAAATTGGTCACGGGGCTAGTTCTGGCCATACCAGCTAACACATATCTAACCCCGCAGAGGCCAGGTCCCTTAATCAGAGCTTAATCAGAGCCAAACACTCAATAAAACACTGGCTTCACGTCTGACAACTCCATGAGCAGTTACATCCGGAACAATGATAAATGCTTCATCCATCAGTTTCTGTCTTAAAGTCTGTGGACAACGCATCTATCAGTTTCTGTCTTTTAGACTATTGTCAACGCCTCCATCAGTTTCTGTCTTAAAGTATGGGGTCAGCGCCTCCATCAGTTTCTGTCTTAAAGATTCTGGTCAACGCCTACATCTGTTTCTGTATAAAAGTCTCTGGTCAACATCTCTATCAGTTTCTGTCTTAAAGTTTGTGGTCAATGCCTCCATCAGTTTCTGTATTAAAGTCTCCTGTCAACGCCTCCATCAGTTTCTGTCTAAAGTCTGATGTCAACGCCTCCATCAGTTTCTGTCTTAAAGTCTGGGGTCAACGTCTCCACCAGTCTCTGTTTTTAAGTCCTGGTTCAACACCTCCATTAGTTTCTGTCTTAAAGATTCTGGTCAACGCCTCCATCAGTTTCTGTCTTTAAGTCTCTGGTCAACGCCTCTATCAGTTTCTGTCTTAAAGTCTTTGGTCAACGCCTCCATCAGTTTCTGTCTTAAAGACTCTGGGCAATGCCTCCATAAGTTTCTGTTTTAAAGTCTGTTATCAACGCTTCCATCATTTTATGTATAGAAGTCTGTGGTCAACGCCTCCATCAGTTTCTGTCTTAAAGTCTGTTGTCAACGCTTCCATCAGTGTCTGTCTTAAAGTCTCCTGTCAACACCTCCATCAGTTTCTGTCTGAAAGTCTGGGGTCAACGCCTCCTTAAGTTTCTTTCCTAAAGACTCTGGTCAACGCCTCTTATCAGTTTCTGCCTTAAAGTCTTCTGTTAACGCCTCCATCAATGTCTATAATGTATTCATTTTACTTAAAGAATGGGAAAATGCATTATCAGTTTCGTCACGCACGATTATAATATATTAAAAAAACTTAGAGCTGTTGCTAAAATAGGCAATCACACGATGACGTCCTTTGCGTAATTATTTGAATCAAATGAATTTTATTTTTATTTCGCAATATTAACAACGCACTAAAATACGCACTAAGAATAACAGATGTTTGGGTTTTACCGATAAATGTGATTAAGATGCAATTCTTAGATAATAATATTTTGATTAATATTTTTTTCATAACTTTTAGATTCGGATAAATGCTTAAAATAGTTCCTTAGTTTTTACTTTAAATGTGTTTTTAATTTATAATAATAATACTTAAATTTTTGCTAATATAAAAATGGAATAAATATAATATTTTTGCCTATGTAAATTTATTCGATTTCCGTGAAATAATAAAAAATAACTATAATTGTTTTTAGGAATCCAAACGTACTTAAATCGTATCTCCATTTTGGCGTCATGTCACCCTAGCTCATTCTTATATACTAGGTACTTCCCGTGTGGCCTAAGCCACCAAAACTCAAAAGAATATTGAGACATTTCCCCCCCCCCCCCACAAATTTATAACAAACCAAATTTAAATGTATACCCTTATAGTCTTTTTACATCTGGATAACTTCTTGGAAAACTATATTTCGAGTAAAATCAAAACTCAAAAGAATATTGAGACATTACCCCCCCCCCCCCCACAAATTTATAACAAACCAAATTTAAATGTATACCCTTATAGTCTTTTTACATCTGGATAACTTCTTGGAAAACTATATTTCGAGTAAAATAGCGACCATCTTTCAGCAGCTTTCCTTCCTGTGGGTTTTCTGTAATGTGGACTTCTTTTTGTGTTGAGTTCCTCGATCGGGACAATGCAACGTAGAGCTGATCATGTGAGAATACTGCAGTCTGGAGATCGATGCCGACGTGGTCAAATTTTTGTCCTTGTGATTTGTTTAGCGTGATCGCGTAAGCAGGAATGAAAATAAACTGTCGACGCTTCAGAATAAAGGGTAATGTTGTATCTGATGGAGCCAAATCAATTATTGGAATAAAAACAATATGCCCATGGTTGCACTCTGAAATGATTTCAGTTGTTATGAAATTGTGATTGAGATGCTTCACGATCATGCGAGTTCCATTGTACAGTCCTTTCTGTGGATTCAGGTTATGCAGTAACATAACTATTACTTCAGGCTATAATCGCAGAACGTGAGGTGGCATTCCTGAGGGTGTTTTTTGAGTCAGAAACTCAACTGAATAATTTTGAAAATCGCTTGGGTCTTCTGAGATTAGTGAATCAGGGCCGCACAATTTTTTTGCGTGTCCTGGCATCATTTCGATGATCTTGCTATTCATCTCTAGAGTTTGATTATTTGTAGGCGCTATAATTATACGCTTCGCCAATTCATCAAGTGACATCTCAGAAATGTGTTTTCCGAAAATGGAAGCGATTATATCACTTTTTTCGATCACTGTTTGAGGTATTTCAATGGTGCAATCGTTGTAGATGCCTTCGATAGGTGGAGGATGACCCATGCCGATTTGCAGCAGCCACTTGTTGTGGTCTTCCTGGCCAGCACTTTGCATGTTGACTGTTAGAAGCAAATGTAAAAAGTACTTCCACAAATTGCTTGATTTAATGCAGCTTTCAACAATATCAGGTCTCATTCCTCTTACTACAACTGGCAGTGTTTGTCGAAAGTCACCATCGACCACGAAAACATTGCCCCCAAAGGGTTTTTCTTTGCACATAATTTCACGCAATAACTTTTCAATACAACGCAATCCATGCTTTAAAAGCATTGTTATTTCGTCTATAATAAAAAGGGAAGCTTCACGCAGAATTTTCGATTCAGATGACATAAATCTCATTGATGAAAGTGACGTATCTAGCAGTGGAACCGGCAGCTTAAAACCACTATGAACTGTTCTCCCACTTTTAAGCAATGTTCCTGCTATTCCTGTTGTAGCAAAAGGAAGCACGCATTGACCCCTTCCACGAATAAAGGCCATCAATGTTTTCTAAAGAAACGTTTTCCCAAAACCTCCTGGTCCATCAAGGTAGAAGCATCTCGTGTTTAGATTATCATTGTCTACAACATCAGTTATCCTGACAAAGGCTTCAAGCTGCTTTTCGTTTAACATTTTTTGTTGTTGTTCAGCTTCTTTCATTTCTTGAACATGATCAAATGCTTGAACTCCTTTGGGATTTCCAGTAGGAATGGGCAGACCAAGCTTTGCGCAAGAAAATCCGTAGTGCCTAAAGATTGCATTTATGTCGTGGAGGGCTAAGTTCTTTGCGGCGTCTTCATCATGGTTTCTTTTGTAATCGAGAGCCATATGGGCTGAGAACTGGTTCCATATATCTATAGGCCT